CCCAAAAAACAATCCCATCCCCAAATTCCCCAGAAACCAATCCCATCCCCAATTCCCCCAAAACCAACCCCATCCCCAATTCCCCAAAAACCAACCCCATCCCCAATTCCCCAGCTGTGGATGGAGCTGGATTTGGGGGTGCAGCACCAAACAGAGCTGGGGCTGCTCTGTGTGCCCTAAATGAGGAGTGGGAACAGCAGGGGGAGGCTCCCCCAGCCCTGTGCCACTCACAATGTCCCTTTTGTGCTGCGTGTCCCCTCCCTCCCTCCCTCCCACAGCCAGCACGGGCTCCTGCTCACTCACATCGATGCCATCAGCTCCTGGCACTCCTGGGGGACCAGGGGGCCCTCGTGGGCCAGGCTCTCCTGGTGGCCCTCGCTGTGGGGAAAAGGGATGGGATCCACGTCAGGAAGGAGCCCGAGATGGGCTGGGATGGAGAACACCCCGAGGGATCAAAGCTCTGCCTCTGCTGTGGGTCCCCCAGCACGGGCATGGATGGGGAAATCCAGGATTTCTCCCACTGGCACCTCCAGCTCCTCACTTTCTGTCCCATTTCTCCCCTCTCCTGTCCTGGTGTCCATGGGGAACACAGCGGGGTCTCCATGGGGTGGTGGCAGCGTTTTTACCCCTCCTCCCTCTCTCCCTGGTGCCCGAGGTCCTCCTGCCCCAAAGGAGCAGGGATCTCCATGGGATGAAGTTTTTACCCCATTTCTGCTCTCTCTCTCCCTGGTATCCAAGGATCTCCTGCCCCAAAGGAGCAGGAATCTCCATGGGATGAAATTTTTACCCCACCTCTGCTCCCTCTTTCCCTGGTATCTGAGGATCTCCTGCCCCAAAGGAGCAGGGATCTCCATGGGATGAAGATTTTACCCATTTCTGCTCTCTCTCTCTCTGGTATCCAAGGATCTCCTGCCCTGATGGAGCAGGATCTCCATGGGATGAAGTTTTTACCCCATTTCTGCTCTCTCTCTCTCTGGTATCCAAGGATCTCCTGCCCTGATGGAGCAGGATCTCCATGGGATTAAATTTTTACCCTACCTCTGCTCCCTGTTTCCCTGGTATCCAAGGATCTCCTGCCCTGATGGAGCAGGAACTCCATGGGGTGAAATTTTCACCCCATTTCTGCTCCCTCTTTCCCCTTTACTCCTGCCTGGATGGAGCAGGCTCTCCAAGCATTTCTACCCCACCTCTGTCCCCCTTTCCCTGCCACTCCCAGAGCTCCTGCCCCAACAGATCAGGGCATCCATGGGGTGACAGCAGCACTTCCAAGACCCCTTTTAGCTCAGAGTGGGATTTGTGGGAGCACTGGCAGGATTCAGGTGCCCAAACCCCCAGGATGAGGTGGGGACCCCCAGCCCCTCTGTGTGAGCTCTCCCTGGGCCAGGCTGGCTCCGCTCCCAGGCTCCAGACAAAAGCTCCATTCAGGGAAGCTCCCAGAGCCTGCTCCTGGCTTTGAGGTTTGCACAGGACTCTGCAAAGAAACCTCTGTTATCCTAACAGGGGGAAGAGATTCCAGTCCTGCACACTGAAGCCCTGGTGTTCCTGGAAATGGGGAGCAGACGGTGCCTGGGCTGCCCTCCTGCAGCTCCTCCAGCCTCCCAGGCTGGATTAATTTAAAAATAAATATAAATATAGGGAATAAATGTAGGAATCAATGTAAATCTAGAGGGGTGAGGGGTGCTGCTGGTTCGTGTACACAACAGGAGAGCCCCAGCTCCACCTTGGATCAATCCCTGAGCCCGTCCCTGGGATCTCCCCTGAATGGCACCTTTGTCCTGCCCAAGGAACCAATTCCAAAGGGTTCCTTGTTCCCGAAATTCCCACATCCCCCTTGCTCCACTCTGCTGCCCCCACAAGCCCATGGGGACCCAGGGGGGGTTTAGGAAGGAGTTGTCCCCCAGTTTCCAACAGGCAGCTCAAGAACCACAGGAAAAAAATCCCCAAAACCTCTAAAATCTGATTTTTTTGCAGCTATAAGACAACGAACCACATGGAAAAATTCCCCCAAACCTCTAAAATCTGATTTTTTTGCAGCTATAAGACAAGGAGAGTTTTCCTAGGTGGAATCCCTCTGCCTGCCCCTCTCCAGGGCTCACCTTCCCTTTTTCCAGATCCATTTTCTCCTGCTCCTGGGTGAGCCTGGAGAGTCCACAGGGACCCTCAAACAGCTCCCACCGAGCCCTGAGACCACCCCGGGAGGGTCAGAGCCCCCCCAGCCCTGCTCAGAACGGATCTGCAGCACATCCCAGCAAAGCAGGAGCAAATCCCCCAGGAAAATCCAGTGGGAAGGACAGAGCCCCCCACTGCTGCTCCGGAGGGGAAAATCAAACTAAACTGGCTCAGCCGAGTTAATGTCCAAGTCTGCACTGAGAGATCTCTGGGGGTGGAGGCCGTGGCTGTTCCCACCCTCCCAGGGGGACATTCCTGGGAAAAAAACAAGGGGAAAATGCCGGGGGAATAAACGCAAAGGGCTCAGCACTGCGAGGGAGTGGAGATGGGGAATGTCCCCTTTGCGTCCCCTTCTCCATCCCCTTCTCCGTCCCCTTCTCCAGCCCGGGAATGGAGCGCGGCACTTACGAGCTGGGCCATGCAGAGGCAGGAGGCTTGGAGCAGGAGCCAGAGCTGCGACACCAGCGTGGTGGCACGGGCCATGGCGAGCCGGGCTGGCACCGAGCGCCGGCAGCGCTCCGGGACACCGGGAGGAGCGGGAGGAGGAGGAGGAGGAGGAGGAGGAGGAGGAGGAGGAGGAAGGGGCTCATGAATATGGAGCAGAGGGATGAGGGCAGGTCCCCGCCCCTCTCAGGTGAGCCCGTGGCGATTATGGGCTGGATGGGGACAGTGTTTGGGATGGTGGGGACAGAGTTTGGCAGGATGGGGACGGGATTTGGCACGGTGGGGACAGAGTTTGACACGATGGGGACAGAATTTGGCACGATGGTGACAGAGTTTGGCATGGTAGTAACAGAGTTTGGCACGATGGGGACAGAGTTTGGCACGAGGGGGACAGAGTTTGGGGGCACGAACGGCATTTGGCACGATGGTGACAGAATTTGGCATGGTAGTAACAGAGTTTGGCACGATGGGGACAGAGTTCGGCACGATGGGGTGGGTTTGGGGGCACGAACGGCATTTGGCACGATGGGGATGGGATTTGGCACGAGGGGGACAGAGTTTGGGGGCACGAACGGGATTTGGCACGATGGTGACAGAGTTTGGCACGGTAGCAACAGAGTTTGGCACGATGGGGACAGGATTTGGCACACATGAGGGGCTGGGACAGGACGGGGATGAACTCGGGAGCTGCTGGCGGGGACAGCCCAGCCAGGCTGTCCCAGGATGTCCCCGTGGTGTCCCCATCACGGCGCCACCCCGGTGCCACCGACCCTGCGATGGGGGCGGCACTGGGAACCAGCTCCTGCCAGCCCGAGGAGGCTCCTGGGGGATTCCTGCCCCAATTCCTGCCCTCGGGGATGTCCCCATATCCCCAGAGGGAAGGAAGGGGGGGTCACAGTGGCAGTGCCATGGATGTCCTGCTCACACCCCCATCCCCATCCCCATTCCCGTCCCCGTCCCCTTTCCCATCCCCATTCCCGTTCCCAGTTCCCGCCTTCGCCAGCAGCCACCCCCCATTCCCATGGAACACGGGATGATTCATCCCGGCCCCTTCCTCCTCCTCCTCCTCCTCCTCCTCCTCCTCTCCTCGGAGCGCCGCTGATTCATCGCCTCTGGGGGATGCACAGGGGCCGGGCACCCTCCCCGCCGGGCACGGGGCCATCCCAGCACGGCCCGGTTGGCACCGGGGATGCTCCGCTCCGCGCTGGGATCGCTCCCGGATCCTTCTTCCCGACAGGGAAGCGATTCCACCAAAACCTGGCAGGGGGGGTTTGGGGCAAAAAAAAGAGCATCTGGGAGCATCTCCTTTAGGATCGCTGCTGGGATGCTCCTGCTCTGCCCCTGTGTCCCAGCACTGTCCCTTTCTGGGACACGAGTGTCACTTTTGGGAGGATTATGTAATTCCGGCTGGTTTTTTCAGTGCTTCAGTGACAGATTTCTGTCTCCTGTCGGTGCCATTGATGGTTTTATCGCGGCTTTTCGGGTACTGCCCGTCCTGAAATTCTCTCCTGCACTGCCAGGTCCCCCCTCCAGGCCAGGGGACAGCACCCCAGGGTCCCCCAAAATCTCCCACCCAGCACTGCTGTACCCCTGAGTCCTCCCCAGTCCCATAGCCAGCACATCAGAGCCTCCAAAACCCCAAATCCCTGGACCCCCACCCAACATCCTAGCACCATGAGCCCCCCAAAATCCCCCACACAGCAGCTCTGTAGCCCTGAGCACTCCAGAGTCCCCCAAAATCCCCCATCCAGCATCCCTGAGCACCCCAAAATCCCACATAAAGCATCTCTGTACCCCTTTTTTCAGCAGAAAGCCCCCTGAGCACCCATGAGCCCCCCAAAATCCCCCACCCAGCCCCCCTGAGCCCCCCCAAAACCTCCCACACAGCATCTCTGTACCCCTCAGCACCACAGGGTCCCCCAAAATCCCCCAGCCAACCCCTCTGAGCCCCCCAAAGTCTCCCAACCAGCCGCTCTGAACCCCTCTGAACCCATCCAAACCCCCCAAATCCCCCACCCAACCTCTCTGAGCCCCCCAAAATCTCACACACAGCATCTCTGTACCCCTGAGCACCCCAGGGTCCCCCAAAATCCCCCACCCAGCAGCCCTGAACCCCCCAAAATCCCACACACAGCCCCCCAAAATCCCCCTCCCCTGCCTGTCCCCCCCTTGTCCCCCATTATCCCCCCATCCTCATCACGTGACCCTCTCCATTCATACCCTCTATGGCCCCGCCCCTTCTCTTCCTATTGGCTTCCGCCCGCGCACCGCAACCAATCACCGCCCAGCGCCGGCGGCGCACGGAGGGGGGCGTCGCCGCGCGGGGCCGGCGCTGATTGGCTCCTCCCCTGGCCGTAGCCCCGCCCATAGCGGAAGCAGGAAGCGGGCGGGCCGGCCGTGACCCGCGGGCGGGCAGCGCCGGCCGCGCCATGACGGGAAAATCGGTGCGGGACGTGGAGCGCTACCAGGCGGTGCTGGCCGGGCTGCTGGCCGAGGACGAGAACAAGTTCTGCGCCGACTGCCAGGCCAAAGGTAGCGCGGATGAGCGGCGGAGCCTGCGGAGCTCGCGCCGCACCGGATGCACCCCCTCGGTGCCCCCCCCACCCCAACCGCACCGGCCTCGCCGCTCGGTGCTCTCCGGTGTGGCCGCTCCGCTGAGGGTTGGACACCCCCGGGTGGGTCTGGTGGGGGTGATGCTTCCACCAGAGGGGAGCGCTCCGGTGGTGGCGGGGGGACAACGGTGCTGGCCCGGCGGTTACGGGGGTTGTGCGGGGGAAAAGGCTGAGCCGGCCCGGGGGAGAGAAAGGGGTGGGTTTGGGGGCACGAACGGGGTGGCTTTGGGGGCACGAACTGGATGGGTTTGGGGCAGAGAAGAGAGTGGCTTTGGGGGCAAGAACAGGGTGGTTTTAGTGGAAAGAACCCGGTGGTTTTAGAGGAAAAAACTCCGTGGTTTGAGAGGGAGAACAGGGTGGGTTTTGGGGCAATAACCCGGTGGTTTTGACAGAAAGAACCCGGTGGTTTTAGGGAAAAGAGCTCCGTGGTTTGAGGGGGAGAATAGGATGGTTTTGGGGGAAAGAACACGGTGGTTTTGGGTGGGAAAACAGGGTGGTTTTGGGGGCACAACATGGTTGTTTTGGGGGAAAGAGCTCCTTGGTTTGAGAGGGAGAACAGGCTGTGTTTGGGGAAGAGAACAGGGTGGTTTTGGTGGAGAGAACACGGTGGTTTTCAGCAGAAAACCCCCAGATTTTTGGCTGCAGCCCAGCTGGGTTTGGTGCGAGTTGCACCGGGAGGAGCTGCTGGGGGAACAAGGGGAGATGGGGAGGGAGCGGCCCCAAATCTCCCTGTGGGGAATCCCGGGAAACACCCCAGAGTGGGTGTGGGGGCCTCTCCTGAAAGGGGGGAAGAAGAGGGACCGGGAAAACCCGGGGCTGTGGAATTGAGGGAATTCCAGCTGGGGAGTCACATCCTGTCCCCTGGGGCTGGAATGCCAGCGGCAGGACCTGCCCTGGATGCTGGGAGCACAGGGAGGGAGCTGTGACCTCACCCCGGCATCATGGACCACTGGAGGAATTCAGATTTCTGGAATTCAGGTTTCTGTCTCCTCCTTCCCCACCTGAATTTTCCCTGTGAGGGTGGTGAGGCCCTGGCACAGGAATCTGTGGCTGCTCCATCCCTGGAATTGTTCAAGGCCAGCCTGGGATAGTGCAAGGGACAGGAGGAGCTTTAAGGTCCCTCCCAACCCAAACCATTCCATGTTTTTCTGATTCCAAGGTGTGTTATGACCCTGGTCTTATCTGAGAGAGGAAATGTTTGAATTTCAGAGGATAAAACAAAGGAATAAAACTGTTCCTTGTCCCCTGTGGTTGCTGCTTTGTTTTCTTGCAGCAAAAGAGTTAAAGTTGCCCAAAATCCTGTTTTAATGAGCTGCCATAATCTCTTGGAGATCTGGACTTGAGCCTCTGTTTCCCAAGAGCTGCTGGAATTGAACTTGGAGGAGGGATTGGCCAAATCCATCTGTAAACAAAGGCCTTGGTGACCTCAGTGTGACCTCCAAAACTGCACAGCCCCCTTGAACAACGTTCAGAATTAGATAATTATGATTTCTTTTCACCCCAAACCACAACAGCCTCATCCCTCCCACCTGCCTGGAGCACACCTGGTGGTGGTGGAGATCAGGATGTTCCTCCACTGTGCCAATCCTTTATCTCTTGGCACCTCCTGGAGGGCAGCAATAGCTCCTTCATCTCAGCTCCCAGGCCTGGGAGAGGGCAAATTCCACCAAAATGGGAACAAATTCAACCCCACAGCTCTGGGTGATGGAGCTGCTCCTGGTCAGGACTCCAGATAATTAATTATTTATTTATTATTTATTTTTTATTTATTATAATGAAGCTCTGGGGTGGAGTTGGGCCTTTCCAAAGCTGGGAGCTGGGATTGCACCGATCCTGGAGGGCAGGCTGGGGCTGTCCCCAGCTATTTGAGCCACTAATTACCCCCTGCACTAATGACATTCCTGGCAGTGGGAAATCTCCTCCTCCAGGGCATGAGCTGGCTCTGCCCAGAGCTCCAAGGAATTGCTGCAGTTTTGGGGCAGTTTTGGTGGTTTTGGTGCATGGAGCTGGCTCTGCCCAGAGTTCCAGGGATTTGCTGCAGTTTTGGGGCAGTTTTGGTGCATGGAGCTGTCTCTGCCCAGAGTTCCAGGGATTTGCTGCAGTTTTGGGGCAGTTTTGGTGGTTTTGGTGCATGGAGCTGTCTCTGCCCAGAGTTCCAGGGATTTGCTGAAGTTTTGGGGTAGTTTTGGTGGTTTTGGTGCATGGAGCTGGCTCTGCCCAGAGTTCCAGGGATTTGGTGCAGTTTTGGGGCAGTTTTGGTGAATGGAGCTGTCTCTGTCCGAAGCTCCGAGGAACTGGTGCAGTTTTGGGGCAGTTTTGGTATTTTTGGTGACTGGAGCTGTCTCTGCCTGAAGCTCCAAGGAATTCCTGCAGTTTTGGGGCAGTTTTGGTACTTTTGATGAATGGAGCTGTCTCTGCCTGAAGCTCCAAGGAGTTCGTGCAGTTTTGGTATTTTTGGTGACTGGAGCTGTCTCTGCCCAGACTCCCAGGGAATTCCTGCAGTTTTGGGGCAATTTGGGTACTTTTAGTGAATGGAGCTGTCTTGGCCCAGAGCTCCAGGGAATTGCTTCAGTTTTGGGGCAGTTTTAGTACTTTTGATCAATGTGGTGCCACAAGAGATGTCTCTGCATGGAGCTCCAAAGAATTGCTGCAGTTTTGGGGCAGATTTGGTATTTTTGGTGAATGGAGCTGTCTCTGCCCAGAGTCCCAGGGATTTGCTGCAGTTTTGGGGCAGTTTTGATATTTTTGGTGACTGGAGCTGTCTCTGCCCGGAGCTCCAAGGAATTCCTGCAGTTTTGGGGCAGTTTTGGTATTTTTGGTGACTGGAGCTGTCTCTGCCCAGAGCTCCAGGGATTTGCTGCAGTTTTGGGGCAGTTTGGGTATTTTTGGTGAACATGGAGCTCTCCCAGCTCTGATGCCAAGGAAGCCCTGATGTTCCTCATGGAATAACTGCAACATCCCACTCTGCCCATGGAAAGGAGCCTGGGGGGCCCTCAGCACTTCCAGGGGTGTCTGGAAGCAAACCTGGGCAGGGACTGGAGCAAACTGGGACAGTGGGAAATGTCCCTTGCCTGTGGCAGAGGTGAATTAAATGAGATTTAAGGTCCTTCCCACCCAAGCCAGTGTGAGACTCTGTGAAATCCCAGGGTGCTTTTGCTGCTGCAAAAACTGCTCAGAGTTGTTGTTTTGCAGGAAATTGGGTGAAATCTCTTCACTGTCTTCCTCTTTTTGTGTTGCCAACCTCGTGTTTGGGGGAACTGGGAGAGCTGAGCCAGGGCACTTGATGAGTTCTAAATCCTCTCCTTGGAGGTGTTTGCTGTGGGAATCACTTGGAAAAACACCTGGAGAGAGCAGCACTTGCTGGGCAGGCGGGATTTTTGCTGCTGGTGCCATTCCAAGGGGTGGCTGTGGTGTTCCTGTGTGCGTCTGAGAGATGCTGCACAGCCTGAGCTGAGCATCCAGCAGCACATTCCCTGCTTGGAACGTGAGAACCTGCAGCTGGGATGGCTGAGGGAGGGAGGGGTGAGGTGAAATCTCCGTTGGGATCTGGAAAATTCCCACGGAGCGACACGGAGTGGATTCAGTGCTGCTCCCGCAGCTGCTCTGCAGCCCCAGCTAATTGTGTTTGGTTCTCTCCTTCTCCCAAATCCTTCCCCCTGCTCTGCAGTCCCATCCATGCACCCAGCAGGCTCCGTGGATCCCGGGGTGGCGCCGTCGGAGCGGGAGCTCCCCGGGGAGCAGAGCCCAGAGGTTCCCCAGAGGGTTCAGGTTGCTCCTCCCTGGCCTGTCTGGCTCTTCGTCCCTTTGTCTTGTGAGATCCAGGGGTTCCAGGCTCTGGAAAAGGTGACATTCTCACTCCAAACTGGATGTTTCCTTCAATCCAGGAGGGATTTGTGCAGGCCTGAGGTGAAGCTCTACAAACTTCATCAGAGCAGGGTTGGTGCCAGGTGATTTTGCTTTCTATGGATGTTAAAATCCCTAGGAATTTCAGGTTGCCCTGTGCTCCCCCCTGGTCTGTCTGGCTCTTCCCTTCATCCCTTTGTCTCGTGAGATCCATGGGTTCCAGGCCTAAATCCATCCCTTGTATCCTGAGGGATTAGGTGGGAGAAGCAAACACAGCATAAATCCAGGTTTAATTCTTCACCAATTAAAAAAAAGGGGTAGGACTGGGGAAATCCCTGCCCAGAGGTGGGTAAATATGGGATGGGAAGGGGGAAAAGCTTGGGGTGGAGTAGGTGGCATGGGGAGCCTGATTTATTATTATTGTCTTATGGGGGAGCTGCTTTAGTCCAGCCTAACTCCTGTTAATCCAAACCAAACATTCCCTGAAAACCTGCGTGACTCAACTCCTCCTCCTCCAGCAGCCTCTTGAGCTGCAGCTGAATTTCCTTCAATTCCAAGAGGAACTTTAATTGAAATAGCTGCTGGAACAGCTGCATGGGAGGAAGGAGGATGAGGATGGCAGTGCTGATGGAGGGGCAGTGGTGCAGCCTGTGCCTTCCAAAACCCAGAGTGGAGGGGCTGGAACTGCTCAGCTCGGCTTAGGAAGTCTGGGATGAGGAGAAAGCTCAGCTTTAGGCAAGGGAATCTTGCCAGAGGGATCCTTGTGGGTTGTGTGTGTGTGTGTTCATTTGGATCTTCAGCTGCAGCCACAATATTCTGGGATCTTCCATTATTCTGCTTTTCTGCTCTTCCCAGCTCAGGTCTGGTGCACAAAGGGAGTGGAAATGCTCCAAAATTCACTTTATCCCTCTGGAATCTTCACCTCAGCAGGGTAAAACTGGGAGAGGACACAGCTCTGTCCACCCTGAGCCTGCCTGGAGCTGCACCTTCCCACTCAAGCAAGGGGAAAAAAGCATCAGTGCTCCCAACAGGGCTTTAGTGTGGAATTAGTTGTGGGAAGATCCCTTTTAAGCAGAG